GTGCCGGGTACTCAAGATCGCTACCTCTGTCGCTTGTATTCGGAATTATATGCGAGGGGGTTCTGCAGAGTCACATTTCGGAGACCCGGCCGGCGGCGAAAAGCAATGGAATCGATCGACCAGGAGACTCGGTCCAGAGAGTCAGTCATATCATCCCACGCACAAGTGTGACCCGGCCCAGCCTCCTCAAGGTCACTGGCTGTGTCACAGCTGCGCCCTGCCAGCGGCACCCTGGGAGGGCCTCCAGCAGGACTCTCGTCCTTGTCGCACTCGCGGAGGACCGCCCCCGGGACCCACCACCCCGAGAGCCCTCGCATTCCAGCGATCGGGTTTGGTGTATCGCTTCGCGGTTGAACACGGGCGCCGTGCGGCGCTCGGCTCGGCGGTGGCGGCGCGCGCGGGCCTCGCCCAACCACGCCTGCGCCGCCCGTCCTCCCTCCCCGTGCCGTGCATGCCCTCCCTCCCCCGCCGGCCCGGGCCCACCGCGGCCCACCCTCTCGGCGCTACGCGGGGCCACGCCACGTCGCAGGCCGCTAACCCCGCGGCCTCGGCGGTGGCTTCGGCGGCGTCCTGGACATGAATCGACCCAAGAGACTATTCTCAGAACAAAGGGCCTAGCGGGCTTGCCCCACAATCACGAGGCGGCCCTGGTCGCACCAAGGACGCGCGATCCGCGGGCTTCCCGAAAGTCTTGTCCTGGACGGACTGTTTCGTGGAGCCGGAGGGTACCGGCACCTGGGCGTGCAAGTCCCGCTCGCCCCACCATGGCCCTAGCATACGGCCACATCAGAGGATCAGAGGCCTAACCTAAGCCTACCCGGGAGTTGGAAGGGGGAAAGGGGGAGGGGGGCAACCAAGGGCTACGTCACTCAGCGGTTAGACTAACGGCCTGAGAAAATGGCTAGCAGGCTGGGGCAAGAGGCTACCGCGGGGACGACGCTGACCTAAGTCCACAGGGCGAGCCTGAAGGCGTTCTATGACGTGAAGGCCACACGGCCCGGGGGGCCTAACCTACGGCCGCCGCGCATCGATCGCACCGCCATTAGACGGCCAGGCCCGGGGCCCAACGGGCCAGCCGACACCGACAAGGCGCGTGCAGAACACGATAGATGGGCAATCACTAGGGGCACCTGCCAGCGCAAAGCCTCCCATATTGCCCCGAGAACCTCGCTGCGGCACTCGGCGCCATGGCGTCCACCCTGGCACGGGGCGCCCGGCTGCCACGCGGCACGGCAGGGCAGCGCCGCGGGGGACGCACGTCACGATAAAAGAACTGCACAAATCTCACTGTTCAAACTTTTTGTCAGTGGCACTCCGCCCCGGTGGACTTGGGCCCCTGAGAGCACGGCGTGCACGCGGACGTGCGGCGACGGCCCTAGCCGGCCCCGGCCCCCGGCCACCGCCATGCCGACGGCGGCGCGCGGAAAACCGAGAAAATCTGCGACGCCTCGCGCCCTCGCGCAGGAATACCTATCGGAGAGTCGCGGGTCGCGGGTCGCGGTCACTTTGCTTCCGTACCTGCGGGCCGATGGCGGAGCTGGGGCGGACGGCGGCCGGATTTCACGAAGGACCTTGCAGCGCGCACTCACCTCCTGGCTGTGCCTGGCGGAAAGAGACCGACGCCAGGGGCCGCGGCGTCGCCAGGCGTCGCATGCGCAGAGCGCCGGGCTGCGTCCGGGGGGGCTGCCCGGGGGTTGCGGCGTCCCCCTCCGGCCCGAGCGCGGCAGGGGCCGCGGGGACGCCACGAGCTTCGGACGCAGCCCGGGTGGTGTCGGCGGCGCCGGTGGAGTGAGGGGCGCAAGCTCGCCGGGCTCGAACACGTCCTTGGCGGAGGTTACCCACCAACGACGACATCCCCACGTCTCGGACCACCACGCCGATCCACCCCATCGCCTCGAAAACACTCCGTACTCAATCATCGCCAAATACTTGAAACTTCTGCCGGCCGCGATAGGGGTAGTTGTCGGAATCAAGACGGCCAGTCAGCGGGCCGGGGCTCTGCGCCTGCGCCGCCCGCCCCGAGTTTGAAAGCATTGTCGCGCGCCGCGGCGCCCCGTCGTCACCTGACGAGGGCGGAGTGACGGGCGTGACGAGCGTGACGAGCTGGCGGGGCGGAGGGGACAACACACACATGGGCGGGACAACACGGCGAGGACCCCCCGTGACGCCGTCCAGACCGTGTTTGACCCTTTGAGTGTCGCGGGCTGACGGGCCGCTCGCGAGGGTGAGTCCAGTGACGAGCAGCCGCCCCACGGGGCGCGGGGCGCGGGGCGCGGAGTGCACGGCGCCAGGGGTCACCTCGGTGAGGCAATCTTGGGAGGCCGTGGCCACCGGCGACAACCGCCCCACCTTATTCCGCCGCCCACGCACCCGCTCCTCGTGTGACACAAACTCTGTCTTGTACTCGGTCAGCACCCTGCCCCGAGTCAGGTTAGGGCCGCCGCGGAGGCATTGTTCAGTTGAGCGCCCGCGACGCCGTCGGCCGCGTGCGAAACGCGCTCGCCCTCCGTCGCGCTCCCTCCGCCGGCGGCGTCGCGGGCGCTGTGCTCTGGCCCTTCGGACGCGACCCCTCGCCGCCCGTACGGTTGAGCGCCACCCCTTCGAGCGCGCCTGCGCACCGAGGCCGGGCGGCCCCCGGCATACGCTGCCAACAGCCGGTGCCAAACTCACAGCAATGCTGGTGGCCATTATGTTCGATTGCTAGCTGAATCGTTTCTGAGAGTAAATTCCCCTTTAACTCAATGAGACCCGCCAATGCGAGGAAATCGGGTGTGCCTTGTCTTTGGACAACCAGTCACTTTTCCCGCTCATCCGGGCCCAACACTTTGGAAGCACTTCCCTCGTCTGAGAGAAACTTCCCTCTCCCCCTTCGCTTTTCCCTTCGCACGGCGGCGCCCTCTCTACCACCATCAGTCACTTTCTCCTCGCGTTCAAAAATAAAAGCGGGGGGCGTTCGGAGACGATCTTTTTTGTTTCGGCCGCGTCGTCGCCGCTGCAAATGGGGCGACAGGTTGGGGCTCATGCGCCCCCCCCTCAAATCCCTCTCGTGGTCGTGGGGGGAGGGCACCAAAGTCCGCCCCCCTTTCCCCCGCTGAGCCGCGAACGCACATGGGCCCATGGGCCAGCCGGCCTGGACCACATGTGAAAAGGGATATGCACCGAGCTTGTACCCAGAGAGTTGGTGTTGGTGCTCTCCAGCCGTGCATTTCTGATGGTTTTGTTGGCAGATTCCCTGCTTTCTACTAAGAGGGGCGGGCCGGTTTTCACGGCCGTAATACGATGCCTAAACTAGGAACTGGGCATTACGCGTAACGAAAAATAGGAAAATATGCATTGAAAAGGTAGAAGTTTTGGTGTTATATCTGTGTGTAGCACCGGCGTAATACCGCGTAATTCACGTATTGTGTAATACTCTGTACACGAAAATCCCGAGTGAAAACGCCTCTCGCTTTCAACTCGCTTCTTCCCCCGAATCGAAAGTGCAGCGCGATGCAGAAATCTTCTTATCCCCCGGGTTTCCTCTTACAAGCTGTGCCCGAGCTGCAGACGGGGGCGTGGTAAGTATAATCCGTGGGTAGCACATCTGGGCAGCACACAGTGCGCTGAAGGTACACCACCGCGTGTACACCTTAAAGAATCGCCCTATCCACCCTTTTTCTTTCGAATTACACACATATATACAGAGTTGTCCGCCCAGTCAGCGCCGTTCTTCTGGTTATACTGTACCGGATGCAGGCGTGCCGACGGGTTGCATACTCGCACGGCTCGGTAAGCAGCCGCAAGGCGCCTCCCGGTGAGCGACGGTAGGCACGCCTGCATCCGGTACCGTATAACCGGAAGAACGGCACCACCCTCTAGTCTCGTTATACAAAACACAATAAGCTGAAAACTACAGTGGATTTCGTTCCGGATTTCAGTGTCCAATTTCGTCCTGCCATGCCATGTCATGCCACCACCACCCCTCCCCAAAAGGGGGTGGGCTGATCTACCCGTGTTTTCCGGCAGATTAGGGATCCCCAGAAAAAGCCCCCCTTGCCAGGCCCGTCACCCGCCAGGCCGAGGTGCCCGCCCCAGGTCCCAGGAGGTGCACGGGGTGCCCCGGGTATTACCGGACATTACTCTCACTGCTCGGCCCACGGGGTACAGGATCTCCAATGTGACTCGGCGACTCCAAGTGGGGGAGCTTCCAAGGTTGCCGGCGGCCCCGCACGAACTCTTTTTTTCCCCTGCCAGGAGCAATCGTTTCCCCGGCCCACCCGCGCTGCGCCGCAGCAGAGCCAGATGCAGGTTCTTGGGTTGTCACGAGCCGCCCCTCGCTAGAGGGCGCTACGGGTGCCGCGGGCCGCGAGCCGCGAGCCTGTGGTGGGCGCGCCCCCCGCCAGGCGGCGCCACCCGGCGCCACCCGCCCAGGAGCCCCTGGCAGGCAGGGGGTGCAGCGCGGGGGCGCGCGGCGCGGCGCCTCAGTCCGCCCGGGTCCGCCCCCGCCAGCCCGCACCACGGCGCCGCTCCCGGACGCGCGCGACGCACCGCGGCCATCGCGGCCAGGCCATACAACAACAACAGCTGATAGCTGCGCCAGCCGCGCCAGCTGCGCGCGCAGGGGGACAGCTTGCAGCAGCTGCGCGGCCGCGGCGACCAGCAGCTGCCGCCGGAGAGGGAGAGGCGGGGAGAGCGAGTGCTGGAAATGTAAGCCCTCTAGGGTCCTCTCGGGACCGATCGCAGCGCGCGGCGCGACGCGGCAGCGGTTTAGCGCGATGCACCCGGAGGGACTGTCCGCCGCACGCCGTGCCGCCCCCGCCGACACCGCCGGGGAACGGAAATGAAACAAAATATGATCTCGGAAACTGTTGCTGAGCGGCGAGGCCGTGGCTACCGTGGCGCAGCGTGGCGGAGCGTGACGGGGAGGGCGGCATGACATCGGGATGCTGCTGCAGCGCCGCCGCCTCCCGCCGCCGCCGCCGCCCCCGCCGCCCCC